CCCGCAATTAATTCCCTATTCGTAGGATCATTGTTAATATTTGCATCGCTCTCAACAGCTATCTGGACGGGAATAATAATCTTAAACCTTCATATATACACCGTGTGGAATTCAAATTTCATGGCAAACAAGTATGCCTGGTTGCATTTCTTCGGTTGGGGCATACCACTAATAATCACCATGGCAGCATTGCTAACGAAATCTGTAGAATATCAATTCGCGGAACTTTGTCTAATTAAACAAGAGATGGCGAATGCTATTTTCTTTTACCCACTAGCAGTCATCGTGGTGCCTAGTTTTGCACTGCACATTGCTACATTCTTTCACATTGTCAAGGTAAAGTTTAGATCAAGGCCACGCACACCCTTTTCGTTTTCGTTGTATGATTGTTGACATTATAAATTCGCAGGTCTCTCAATCCGAGTCCATATCATCCCAAGGGAGCACCAAACTTTCTGAATTCATAACTGAAAAACACGTCTTAACTGCCGTGAAAATTCAATGGCGCGCCTTATTGCTCGCCGTTGTCTTAGTAGCTACTGTGATCACCTACTGGCTATTCTACTTTATCGAATTGCGTGACATTACCAACGGTCCCAGAAATAAAAATTTCCTTGTTGACTGGCTAATATGCATTCAATCGAACCGTGGGCAGAACGAGTGTTCAAAGATTGCTGATGGGTATATGCCATCCCTTGGACTTCTATTGATGGCAGAGTTCTTGGCAAGTCTTATTGGGATTTGGTTGTTGGCCATATTTTCGAACTCTGCTATGTGGAATGGGTGGTCACGGTGGTTTGGCGAGAAGCTCAGAACCAGGCCGAAGATTGAAGCGCCAGAACAGTTTCTTGCCATATAAATGTATTATTCAATTACAAAAAATATTTTTATTATTAATTACAAATAAATAATTTATTAATACTCTATAATAAAGTTTGAACGAACGTTTCAGTCATAGATCAGTACCGATCTTAAGTAGACTTGGGGAAAGTAAATAGTAATGCATTCCCCTGCCTTTTATTATTAATGAACCCATTCCGGAAATACAGTAGTAGAAAGAGTTGAAAAAGTACTTTAGAATGATGTAATATTGGAAACGACAGATGAATATACAAACATTTATTTACAGTACATTAAAAAAATACAAGGGGTCATCGCATCGAAAATTTACATGTTTTAATTCTCAAATTCCTAATTACACAAACGCAAACCTATTCACCGCATCCCGCAATTTCACCCCGCTCGAACACTGTTCTTCGCAAGCATATTCACAACAACCTGCCTGAAATTGTTGTTGGATAATTTCTCTTCAACTAGTACCATCCTCTCTTTCGTAGAACACCCGAATCGTCCAGATTTCCATTAACAAGATATATCAATCCTCTTCGATGAATGATGTCATAGTTATTCATGCAGGTATTGCAACTTTCAACCTCGTTCTCTTTATTTTCCATTTCGGCCACGTTGTAATTGTTTATCGCCGCTGTTAAACAAGTGTTCTCGGCACAATTATCGGAATTTAAAAATAATCTCTTCTCACCCTTGAAACTCGCACTTCCCAAGTCATTTAAAGTGCATCTCTTTTGGTCTACCAACATAAATCCTTGTCCTTCTTCATCCGAAACCTGCGTTTGATAGCTTTGTTCGCAGCAATCTCCAACACTTTTATCATAGCAGTTAGCTTGTTGAACTTGATTGCATCCCTCGCTGGCCACATCATAATACAATGGAGATCGTTGAAAAATGACTCGCGGCGTGTCACGCTTACCAATTAAAGCGTTGGAATTCTCGTTTTGGCTACAATAGGAGGTTTGTTGTTCGGTTTCGTCGCAACACCCTAGAGCATGATTGTTGCAACACGCGGATTCAAAGTTCGTATTCGAACAACACGAAACATCTTCGACAAACTTCGGAGCGGAACAGATATTCTCATCGCACGCAGGAAGGCATGCGGTGGTGCCGCAAGGATCTCGGACTAGAATATTGGTGTTTGGAAATGCGTGCACCACTGCTAAAGTGATGAAAACAGGGAATATAATTGTTTGAATAAAGGAATAACGAATATTCATGCTTGAGAAGAAAAATTGGTTCTTTTTCCGGATAACGCACTAGAGGGAAGACATATTTATACAGAGGTCAAGAGATTAAAATATCCTTTGAAAAATAGATTAACAAACCATAAGATTATATTACTTGAGATAAATCCATCAAAGCAAAGCAGTTTATTAATTGACTATTTCCTAGGCAATTTGAATTTACTCACCCGCATTCATCAGGTTATTACGGTCATTTTTGTGATAATTTCAATAATTTCATTTTCTCATTGCTGCTCAGTAATTGATTTTGATTTATTACTATTCGACTACAGAGTATTTGTTTTTGATGCATAATGAATTATGCAGATATATACATTAGGAAAATCACATTAAAATCATTTATCATTTTCACTTTCTCCGCCCTCAAAGTAATTGACAAAATTTCCCCCTTATAGGTTATTTCTGTTTCTATTCTTAAACAAATATCAAATGAGCGGATTGAACCTTTTTTGGGATGTGTTCGGAACAATATTAACCTTGATTGGCTTAATTCAATTGCGATTGGCTGATTTTAAGGATTCAAATTAGTTTGAATTAATTAAATCCGCTCATCTTAGCATTAATTGATCCGCCTGCAAATATATGAAATCGATCATCTAATTATTAGAATCTCGATATGGCAGATATTCGATCTATCGGAGATTAATAAAAAAATCCTGATATAACAGAATGAGGCTCGAAACAAGCATAGTAAATTAATTAATTAATCTTGATGTAATGAATTTTATAGTATAATTTCCAATTTTTGAAAAATTTATTAATTGCCTTAGGGTTACGTTATATCGAATTTTACGAATTTTACGATGCACAGTATATACGAAATATAAGAAATAAATAAATAATAAATCAAATTAATATATATAACTTTATTGTTAAATAAAATAAAATAAAATAAAAACTTATTTAAATAAAATTAATTAAAACAAACAAATGATACGATTGTTATTTTATATACTGTATTTTATTTTATTTATTGTTATTATTATTTTACTCTAGATTAGATTTGTTATGTATAGTGGTTTAAAAAATAATTTTTAAAAATTATTATTCTTATTATAATTTGAAATTTATTTATTTAAAAAATATAAAAAATTACGAATAAAATATTTTAATTTTATAAAATAACTTTCAATTAAAAATTTTGTATATTAATGTAATAATATTTTACTAAAAAAATTATTTTTAATTTACTGTATATGTCAAGTTGTATAAAAATTGCAAGTTGAATATTATTTCATAATAATTTACGTTTACAGTAAATCTACAATTATATAATTATAGTTTATTTTTATTAGAATATTAAATAAATATTTACAATATTATATAACTTTCGTATAATAGTTGATCAAATTTAAAGAATAATATTTTATTTTTTTGATAGATTGATATTAGTGTCCTTTATTTATTAGAATTATTATTAATAGTTTGTTATTGCGAATTATTTTAAAAATTAATAAATTAATAAATTAAGGTATTAATAAAAATAATAATAATAATAAATATGAAAAAATAAAACTTTTTAAAAGATTTTCATTCAAATTAACAATCTTTTCTTAAAAGAAATCTGCTTAATTAAGATGTTCTTTTTTTTTTTTTTTTTTTAACCCTCTGTCAGGCTAGTTGCGTGCGCTTTATTAAACAAAAGTAAGCTATACATT